CTTAAGATATTCATTGCTATCGGGATGTTAAGAGCATTCCATGGAATATAACAAAAAGTGTATCTCGAGCCGGTTTCTCAAACGACTTTTTATAATAATAATAATAATAATAGCTTGGATTTATATGGCGCCTTTCAAGGGACCCAAGGTCGCTTTACAAGTAATAGGGCAACAACAAACATAACAAAACAAAAGTCAGACAGACAAAACAACAGATCGATTAGGGGCCGAAAGCCTTGGCAAACAGATGGGACTTGAGGGCCCTTTTGAAGGCGTCGAGTGTGGAGATGTTGCGAATCTCCGCAGGTAGAGCGTTCCAGGGGGGGGGCGCTGCCACGCTGAATGCTCTGTCCCTGAAGGTTCGCAGTTTGGTGCGGGGGGTGTTAAGCAGGCCACAGTCTGAGGACCGCAGGTTCCGGGGTGGGGCATGTGGGTGAAGGATGTCCGATAGGTACTGGGGGGTACCTATCGGACTTTGTAGGATATGCAGGACTTGACCAGCAACCAGTGTAGGTGGATGAGGCTGGGAGTGATGTGCTGCCACGGCTTTGTGTGTGTGAGTACCCTAGCAGCACAGTTTTGGACATACTGGAGCCTGTCCGGGGTTTTGTTGGGAACCCCGAACAGGACACCATTGCAGTAGTCACAAATAATCCTTGATGTGGTTTCAATTCAATTCAATTCAATTCAAGTTTATTTATATAGCCCAAAATCACAAATGCTATTTATCTCAGAGGGCTTCACAAGTCAACAAACACAATTGGCAATGTAAAACAATGTAAAAACAACAAACATATCTTACAAGATCAATGTGAAAATACCAATTTAAAAAGGAACATAACACAATGACACAAATACAGTTAGAGTACAATAAATACAGTTCCATAAAACGAAGAGTCTATGAGGAGGGGGGGTTTAAAACCAGTCTTAACTGTACTAAAGAGGAAAGTCTTTAACCTGCTCTTAACTGTGTGGACACTGTCTGCCTCCCTGATCGTCACTGGAAGTTGACTCCAGAGGAACGGGGCTTGGTAGCCGAAAGGTCACCTGACCCTTTTTTGTGGACTCTGGGAACCACCAACAGACCTGCACTCTGGGTTCTTTTTTATTTTTTTTATTTATTTTGACATACTTTATTAATCCTCGTGGGGAAATTGTTTCTCTGCATTTGACCCATCCTAGTGTTTAGGAGCAGTGTGCTGCCATTTTAAACGGCGCCCGGGGAGCAGTGTAGGGAACGGTGCCTTGCTCAGGGACACCTCGGTAGCACTTGGTCTTGCCGGGACTTGAACTGGTGACCTTCCAGTTGCCAAGCCAAGTCCCTATCGACTTCGCCACCACTGCCCTAGAGGGGTAATAGGAGATTAAAAGTGTAATGCGTGCTTTCCTTTTGGTCTCATTCAGCAATGGTACATCAGAGTATGAATGTATTTGATTCTTTGGTACACCAGAAATATATTTTAAAATGCTAGTTTTTAAAGCACATCAGTTAGCACAGGTGATGGGTTTAAGATTTCACTCAAAACTATAAATGTCTACTTAATGGATTTGATAGAGGAAAAAGTCATTAGAGTTCATCTCCATGAATATTGGTGCCAAATGTCTAATATCCAGTATCTAATGTGATATTTCAAACTGATGGACTGACCCATCATGGCCTTTCTATATGTACACGCTAAGAACATCATGTTTTGGAAAGGTCTTTATTGGTGTTGGATGATTGATCCATTACAACTTTAAAGAAAGGACTGCATGACACCCGGATGTCTCACTTTAAGCATCTTGTTAAATCTGAGCAGTGATGTTTTGCAAACATAGACTCAGTCTTTCTGTGTTACGACATGTGATTACGTGTGGAACCGTGTTTTTCTCCATACTCGCAGTGAGCGGATATTTAAAGAAGCGTGGCTTTTATTGTAATCATATCTGAGAGATCTCACTGTTATTCACACATTGTCACGGGAGACGACTGAATCACACCAACCTCCATCTCCAACAAGGTGAGAACTTGTGACACAAACTCTCAATGAGGTATGAAGGAACGAGGAATCTAGAAATTATTTTCTGAATGACCTCATGTCCTCTTTCCTCGCCTCCTTTTTTCTCTATTTCCTCTCTTTACCTTCTGCACCATCGGCCCTTAAAGGTCTCCTATCATGCAAAATGCACTTTGTGATGTCTTCTCTACATAAATATGTGTCTCCGGTGTGTCAGGGAACTCACGCAGCATCAGAAAACAAAACCCTCTCTTTTTTCCTCCTTACCCACATTTCTAAAAACGGGGGAACAACGGAGCTGATCCAGATTGGCGTCTGATATGACGTAATATCTGAAATGTGGACCCACGGCCCTATCAGAAACCTCGCTTTTGAGAACAATGCCTGACGTGTTTTGGACGTTAAATGGTCTTTGTTTACATTAGAAAGTATCGCTAACACTCAGAGCTAACCTGTACTGGCGAGAGTATATGTAAAGAAGCACGAAATATAAAAAGGAAATCACCTTAGCCGCTTTCACACCAAGTACTTTGCCGTACTTAGTGCCAGCACTTAGTTCCCCCATGGAACTAAGAGCCGATCGCGTTCACACCAGAATTAGTCCCATGAGGGAAGATTATGCAAATGAAGCCGCTGACGTCACTTCTTCTTCTTCCGCTTTGGGTTTACTGGCAGGCCGCAAACCACTTCACGGCGTATACTGCCACCCGAAGTCCCCGGCCGGAAGTCCCCGGAGTTGGCCTTCAGTAGAAGCTGCTGGGACTCCCAGCAGCTTCTACTGAAGCCCTCCGAGTAAATCGCCAGAACGCCAACACCTCCTCATCTCCACCGCTCCCATGTTTTATTTTGTGTTGCCATAAGTCAGTCTCTCTGCGTTTGTGTGCTTGGCTAATGCTAATGCTAATAATGCTAATGCAGGATAATAAAATGGCGGCTTCACAAAACCTTTTGGGAGTTTTACGGGGCGTGGTTTGCAATCCACCCAGCCAATCAGAAATAGGAACCTTTTTCTCCCACGAAAGTACCTGCTCTCTAGCAGGGACTGAAAAGGGGGTGAAAAGGTTCTCATGAACTAAGTTCTAGTCCTGGATTTTTTGAATTTTCTAGTAACTATATCGGAAACTATACTGGGAAAAGTACTCCGGTGT